AAGAAGCGGTGCTATGTACTGTCCTTGTTGTAGGTGTAGGAATTTGAAGCTGCTGAATAGAAATGATATACGGATTCACCTAATAAAATCAGGTTTTGATGAGAAATATAAATACTGGAACTGGCATGGGGAGGGTATCACTGAAGATGATGATCCAAATATGCATGTTGGTACGTCCGGTGGCCAACGAATAGATGACACAGAAACATTGTTGAATGATATTTTTCCTCGACCTACAGAATATGATGTTGATGATAATGTCGAGGATGATATTGGAGACAAAAGTGAAGATGATAACGAAGTTGAAGCCGAAGAGGTAGGAGGTGTCGCGAGTGTCGAAAATATTGATGATATGCATTCCTCCGCAGAAATAAAGCGAATAATGGAGCTACTAGAAGATAGTGAAAAGGACTTATATGAGGGATGTACCGAGTACTCCAGATTTTCATTTATGCTGAAACTCCTTCATATTAAGACACTTAGCGGTATGTCAGATAATTATTTTGAAATGCTTCTTGATTTGCTTCGGACTGTAATCCCTGGAGGAGAGAATAGCATACCCCAAACAACTTATCAAGCTGAGAAGATTGTCTCTGCTCTGGGTCTTGATTATAATAAGATTGATGCATGTCCGAATGATTGTATTTTGTACCACAAAGCCAATAAAGACCTTCAAGAGTGTCCGACATGTGGAGTTTCTAGGTGGAAACAGCGCACAAATTCTTCAACAAGGATTACAACGGAGACAGGGATAACACAGAAGAAAATTCCAGTCAAAGTGCTTCGACATTTTCCATTGGCTCCTAGATTGCGAAGATTATACATGAACAAGGAAACGGCAAAGAATATGAGGTGGCATAAGGATGATCGAGTAGACGATGGTAAATTGAGACATCCTGCTGATGCTTTAGCTTGGAAGCATGTTGATAAAATTTATCCTCGTTTTGCCGAAGATTGCAGAAATGTAAGATTGGGTCTATCAAGCGACGGATTCAATCCATTTGGGGTAATGAGCTCTGGCTGGTCTACGTGGCCAGTTGTATTAATGCCATATAATTTACCTCCATTGCTTTGTATGAAACAGCCGTTTATGATACTTTCATTACTGATACCCGGTAAGCATGCTCCGGGAAATGATATTGATGTCTACTTAGAGCCTCTAATTGATGAGCTAAAACAATTATGGTCTGAGGGTATTTTAGCATATGATGCCCATTTAAAAGAGTCGTTTAGATTACGTGCTATTCTACTATGGACGATTAATGATTTTCCAGCTTATGCTAATCTGTCAGGGTACTCTACGAAGGGCAAGTGTGCTTGTCCTGTATGTGGTCTAGAATTTGAAGCTATTCAATTACCACATAGCCGAAAGAGTTGTTATTGGTTTAATCGAAGGTGGTTGCCCTTGAGTCATAAGTACAGAAAATTATCAGCTAAGTTTGATGGTACAGTTGAGAAAAGAATGAAGCCGCGTCAACTGACAGGTACTGAGATCGTTCAATTACTTGAGGGGTTTCCAAAAGTTGTGTTTGGGAAAAAACGCTATTCTAAATTTAACACGCTCGGAGTAAGAGATTACTTAAAGTTAAAAAAGCCATTGAAGCGTAAGCGAAAGGTCCGTAAAATGCAAGTTGAGGACGAAGCCCAAACATTACCTAGAGGATGGACTAAATTTAGTATCTTCTTTCAGCTACCTTACTGGCAGAATCTAAAAATCCGACACAACTTAGATGTTATGCATATTGAGAAAAATATATGTGATAACATAGTATCAACTCTCCTACAAGATGCAAACAAGTCGAAGGATGATCTACGGGCGCGCCAAGATCTGACTGCTTTGAATATCCGAAATGATTTGCAAGCTCAAGACGTTGGCCTTAAAAAATTAAAGTTGCCTCCGTCTCGTGTTACAATGTCAAATGAGCAGATGCAACGAGTTTGTGAAATTCTCAAATCGGTAAAGTCGCCGGATGGTTACTCTGCTAACATTTCAAATAATGTCCAGGTGCAAGAGAGAAAACTCTTAGGTCTGAAGACACATGATTATCACGTTCTTCTCCATCAATTGCTCCCTGTTGCAATCCGTAACAATATGGATAAAGAAGCGTCGAAGATTATTATTGAGTATTGTGGATTTTTCAGAAAATTATGCTCTAAAGTCATAGATGTAGATGACTTTAAGAAACTTGAAGCCGATGTCCGAGTTACTCTATGCAATATGGAAGTAATATTCCCTCCTTCATTTTTTACAATTATGGTCCATCTTACCCAGCATCTTGCAAGAGAGGCTAGAATCGCCGGTCCTGTTACTTATCGTTGGATGTATCCGATTGAAAGGTAATTTATGATTTTTCTTATATTTATTAATTGTATACGCGTTTTTCAAATTACCGTGCTAATAATTAACTTTTATGATTATAAGATACTTGGGCTGCATGAAAAACAATGTTCGCAATCGAGCTCGTCCCGAGGGCTCGATAGCTGAAGGATACGTGGCTAACGAATGCTTTGTGTTTGCATCACGTTACATGCGTAAGAAGAAAACCACATCTCAAGCACCTCAAAAGGAGAGGAAGCGTGAAAAATACCCGAGATCTCTCTTAGATCAAATTCATGCATATGTGTTGGAAAACCTTGATATGTTCGAAGACTATCGAAGGTAACAAATAAAATCTGTAATATAGATGAGAAATATTCATTTTACATATAGTTTATCAATACAAACTTATATATTGTTTATATAGGCGACATCTGGAGAAGCTTAAGAATGAAACAACCGGTAGGAATGCAGCGCATAATATTCAGAAAAGACATAGGAAAGAATTTTCTGATTGGTTAAGATTTGATGTAAGTGTTTTACAATTAATTATTGAACATTCATAATATAACATCGCCTAAATATTCTCAAATTGTTTGTCTTAGGTTGAAAAATCACTTCTTGATGATACTACATTACCAGATGAAATTATTATCCATGCACAACGTCCTTATCACGAAGTGAGACGTTATAATGAGCATTTGGTGAATGGATATAAATTTCGAACATTAGAGACCGATGATAGGAGGGTAACTCAGAACAGTGGGGTCATGGGCTTGTTTGCCCAAGAATGTTTTTCAAGTATAAGAGATCAGAATCCAATTCTAGCTGACATATTATATTATGGCCAATTAGAAGATATCGTTGAGGTAATTTACGGGTTTGGTAAACCAAAACAATGTACTTACACGATGTTCAAGGTTCGGTGGTGTCCTGCAAAAAAGCAAAAGGATCATTATGGATTTACACTAGTCAATCTTCACCGAGAAGTATATACGGATGAGAAATTCATTTTCGCAGAACAAGCTGATCAGTGCTTCTATGTGAAAGATCCGAATGTCATGTATGATTGGGTGGTTTTGTACAAGGAGCCAAGATCTGTTGTTCTTCCTAATAACAATGAAAAAAATATTGAAGAAAGTGAAGATAATTATAGTGAACCAATCGGTTCATCTGATGATGTTTGGCAAGAATTCTCTTACGCACAGAATGTGGCGCTGGATGTAGGTATGAACCTGATATGTTACACCACATTATCGATTTTTATCTTATCATAATAAAAACAATAATGCATTTCATAACAACATATCTCATGAGCATGTATACAATTTTTTCATAACGATTGTCTTTATTATATTTGCAGATGAGGAGGAGGATGAGGAGGCTCTTTGACCTGGAGGGTGATCGCTCACGGAGTATCACCCCAGGTAGTGGTGCTGATGATCCACTACCATCTCCGGATGCAGGTATAAAAATTAATTAATACTTTAACATGTTTTATAAATTTTTAGTTATCTAGCTCATAGTGTTCATTTGTTGTAGATGCTGGATATTCATCACCCGGCCCCTCTGATGCAGCACCAGAACCATCCCCCGACGCAGCACCAGAACCATCCCCCGACGCAGGTATTAAATATTTAATAATTGATAATGTTCAATTAAAATTTAATATTAATGATTCTTCTTTCTTATGTAGGTGCTACTTGGACCCCGACATATCCATCATATACATTCCATACTGACTTGCGGCCAAAGACCCAGGACTTTCTCAGTTTACCTTTACCTCCGGACTCTCATAAGTCCAAGGCTGATTCAAGGAAGTACCACCCACGTGCTGCGAGAAGGTATCAGGAAATGCTTCCTATGTTGGAGACTAGGAAAGCTGTTGCACTCGCAGCAAAAGAAAGAGAGATAGCGAATGGTAAATTATATAAATACTTTTAATTTTCACATTTGTATATTATATGATATATTATCATGTTGTCATTATTGTAGGTGCTAAGAAGGATCGCATAGAGGGACGACGTGGCGGAGGTAAGCCTGATTCTAAACAACCGCCAAGAGGAATGAGGGCCATTATTAGGTGGAATAGTTCTAATTTACCCGTTGGTCCTTGGTCGGCCCGATTGAATGCATATATTGGGGTTCTCGTGCGTAGAGCGACCATTATCAACCCTTATTTTCATTTTCGAGAATTACCATGGACCGCATACGAGGCGATATGGACTGCGCTTATGGTAAGTGCATATTGTTTTAGATTTTCATTTATTAATAATTAGTAATTGATATTAAATTATCCTTACTAAATGTGTATGTAAATCTACAGGACTGCTTCTGCCTTGAGGACTTTGAGGGGGCTTGGAATTATGTGTTTAATGTCAAGGTTGAAGCAGTCCTCAAACAATGGAGGCATGAGATCAAACATGAAACCTATGACAGGTATGAGGAGGACTGGCAGAGGTTTTTAAACCTCGATGACCGAGTTGATGAGATTCATTTCACGGCTCTCCTCATGTATTGGGACAGCGATGCCGCCAAGGTTAGTTTCATGAAATTTAGTTTATAATTTTAAGATATTATTTCATTTTATATTTACAGAATTTTTTTTAAAGAATAAATCCACGAAGGGGTCAGAAAATAGAAGAAAGAAGCTGCATGACCATCACTTGGGCTCACACTCCTACGCCAATCTGGAGGATGTTTATTGTCAAGATACGGTATATGTCATTTAAAGATTTAAAAGATCTTAATGTTTAGTATGATTATGAAATCTCATAATTTATAATATGACAGGGGAAATCATTAATGCCGATACACTTGAGGGCCAGAGCGGCATATGGTACTTTTCGTGAACAATATAGGGGTGATGAGAGGAATCGGGATAAGATCACAAAAAATCTCGAGTTAGTGGTGAGATTTATACATATCTTGAGTAGTATTATTAATTCTATTTTGTTAACATTACGAGGAAACGAGAACACAAATAATATAGTCATTATCTTGAATTAACCATAAATTTGTGCTTTAGGAGGGATTTGAGAACGCATCCAAGGAGGCTGCATCTGTCTACATTTCGCAGGAGGAGGAACAAACCGAGCCAGACCCTCACATGCTTTCTGCAGAGGAGAACATCAATCTCACACAGAACCTGATGGGTCATAATAGGTAAGGATGGTGAAAAATCGAATCAATTTGAATACTACATACTATTTATATTTGTTTACCATTATTGATTTTGAGAGCAAAGTTTAATATTTATTTCTCCCTAATAATAGGAGAGGAAGATATCCTCTGCATGGTGTCGGAGCTTCACCTGGTGTAAGCATTAGATCGTCCACAGCATCCTCCACACCATCTACATCGACGAGAGCAGCCACAAGCAGTTTCCAGGCTATGCCATTTGTCGCATGTATCTCTGCGTATCTGTTTGACAAAATTGACTCGGAGCTGCATATTCAGGTGACTAGTGAGATAACTAGAGTTGCGCTGACGGCGAACTCGTTGGACGATCTCATGGGGTATGTTATACAATATTTAGGCGGTGCTATTCCTCATAGCGCGTATGGTGGTGTCATACGGATCATTAGCTCGATTGGCGATAATTCCGGCGCTAGACAGAGTAGTGCTCAGGTACCTTATTTTTTCTTATATTTATAAATTCATTTTTATCTAATATGTTATCAAACACCACATAATGATTATTCAATTAAACATTCAGAGTGGAGATATTGGAGGGAGCAGCACCCATTCTCGTAATCGGGATAGAGATACCCCCGCCGACGACGATGGATGAGGTTTTTTTATTTTTAATGCAATAAACAGTTTTATTTGTTATAACACTACATTTATTCATGTCGTGTATCATATCTTAGTTATGTGCATTGTTAATATATATGTTGTTGGATGTGTTTTAGACGGAACTGATTGATGTATATTTTGAAGTGGATGGTTGGATTTGTACAATGTGTTGGATTTGGTTATATAGATGTTTTTGAATGGAATTGTTATGAATTTTGATTATGATTGGATAGTTGAATGTGGCGTGTACAGTATTTTCTAGATGTATTCAAATATTAATGTAATTGTACAGGGAAATACAAATTGTAATTAATTTTTTTTTCACTGTAAAAAGGCAATCTAGACGGAATTCCGTCTAGTTTGAATCAAACTAGACGGAATTTCCGTCTATGTTGTTAAAAACCAACCTAGACGGAATTCCGTCTAGTTTGAATCAAACTAGACGGAATTCCGTCTAGATTGACAACCCAGACGGAATTCCGTCTAGGTTGATAACCCAGACGGAATTCCATCTGGGTTGTAAACCCAGACGGAAATTCCGTCTGGGTTGTAAACCTAGACGGAAATTCCGTCTGGGTTGATAAGCCAGACGGAATTCCGTCTGGGTTGTCAATCTAGATGGAATTTCCGTCTAGGTTGATAACCCATACGGAATTCTTTATTCCGTCTAGATTGACTTCCGTCTAGATTGATCAACCTAGACGGAATTCCGTCTAGTTTGCAGCAATCTAGACGGAAGCAATAAACCACTCAACTAGACGGAATTCCGTCTAGATGAACTAATCTAGACGGAATGGCAAATCAACATAGATGGAAATTTCCGTCTAGGTTGATCGTTTTTCTACTAGTGGACTAGTTTCTTTAAATGGCAACGCTTAAAATTCTATGAGATGTAATCCTAGATACAATGCTAACCCCCCCCCCCCCAACACACACCACAGCTTAAACTACGTTGTCGCCCAATGTACAGATAAACATAAGAAAGACATTAACAAAACAAACCCCCTTGGGTTTCCTCTCAAGCAGTGGCCATTGTTTTACACGTCATTGAGCGCGAACCACAAAACTCCTTTCCTCAGTAGAACAATTTGGTCTGGCTAGTCCGGCATTTCCTCCCAGTTTTAGTTTTGTTTTTATTTTTTTGGATTTTTTTGACTTTTTTTTTTTTTTTGTAATTTTTTTTTTTTTTTTTTTTTTTTTTTTATTTTTTTTTTAGATTTTTTTTTTTATTTTATTAATTTTGTTTTTTTTTTTTTATTTTTTTTTATTTTTTTTTTTTACATTTTTTTTTTATTTTTTTTAGTTTTATTTTTTTATATTCATTTTTTATATTTTTGCATTTTTTGCCTTTTTATTTTTGATATGTTCATTATTACGCATTGCATTTTTTAGTTATTATTCAACTTTATCATGATTTTTTTTTTAGTTTTTTATTTTAGATTATTATTTTTTTTTTTTTTTAGATTTTTTTATTATTGTTTTTATATCTATTTTTTTTTTATTTGTTGTCTGACCTGTTTTTAGTTCTTTTTTTTTTTTTCATTTGTCATTTTTTTTTATATTGTTTTTCCATGTGTGAACATTTTATTTTTTTTAATTTTTTTTTAATTTTTTTGTTTTTTTTTTTTTTTTTTTAAGTTTTTATTTCTTTTTTTTTTTTGATTTGATTTTTTTATGTATTTTTGTTTTCATTACATTTTATAATATTTCAGACATTTATTCATCTTTTGTTTTTTTTATTCTTATCTTTTTTTTTTTTTTTTTTCCATTTTGCTTTTGATCTTTTTTTTATTTTATTAAGTTTTTTTTTTTCTTTTTTTTTTTTTATTTTTGCATTTTTATTTTTTTTATTATTTTATTTTTTTTTGTTTTTTCATTTTTTAATATTTTATATCCATTTTTTTTTCTTTTTTTTTTTTTTTGTTATTTTTTTTTTTTTTTATTTATTGTTTTTTTTTTTTTTTTTTTTTTTTTTTTTTTTTCGCTTTTTTACATTTATTTCTTCTTGGAATCCCTCATAATAAGGCTTGAGACGATGACCATTGACCTTAAATGCTTTGTCAGTTTTCAGACTTTGACTTTCCACTTCACCATGAGGAAAAACATTAGTAACAATAAATGGACCCATCCAACGAGAACGCAACTTACCAGGAAAAAACTTGAGTCTCGAATGATACAACAAAACTTTCTAGCCAATTTTAAAGTATTTTCTAGAGATCATTTTATCATGAAAAGCTTTGGTTTTTTCCTTGTAAATCATTGCATTCTCATAAGCATCATTTCGTAGTTCCTCCATCTCTTGCAATTGCAGCTTCCTTTGTGCGCCGGCCTCATCTAGATTCATGTTGCATTGTTTGATTGCCCAATACGCCTTATGCCCTAATTCAACAGGAAGGTGACACGACTTACCAAACACCAATCTGTATGGAGACATACCAATTGGTGTCTTGTAAGTCGTTCTGTACGCCCACAATGCATCATCTAGCCTCAAACTCCAATCCTTTCGATTAGGATGAATCGTCTTATCCAAGATAGATTTGACCTCCCTATTTGACACCTCAGCTTGACCTTTTGTTTGTGGATGATAGGAAGTCGAAACCTTGTGCATCACATTATATTTTCTAAATAATGATTCCACTGTCCTATTACAAAAGTGAGTACCTCTATCACTTATGACAGCCCTGAGTATTCCAAATCTGACAAAATTGTTTGATTTGAGAAAATCTGCAACAACCTTAGAATCATTAGTCCTGGTGGCTTTAGCTTCCACCCACTTAGAAACATAATCAACTCCAAGCAAGATATAAGTAAAGCCAAAGGATGCAGGAAATGGTCTCATGAAATCAATACCCCAAACATCAAAAATTTCGCAAACAAGTATGGGGGTTTGTGGCATTTGATTCTTGTGGGATATGTTACCAGTTCTTTGGCAATTATCATAAGACTTACAAAAGAAGTATGCATCTTTGAATAATGTAGACCAATAAAACCCACAATCTAGTACCTTACGGGCTGTTCGTTTTGGTCCAAAATGTCCCCCACATGCATAAGAATGACAAAAGGTAAGAATAGAGAGAACTTCACCATCAGAGATGCACCTTCTTATCACTTGATCCGAGCAATGCCTCCAAAGGTAAGGGTCATCCCGTTCAAAGTATTTAGCTTCACTCTTAAGCTTGTCCTTCCTAGCCTTTGACAAACCTGTAGGTAGCTCATTAGTAACCAAATAATTTACAATGTCTACATACCATGGATGTGTCAACTTGGTAGAAAATAATTGTTCTTCTGGAAACATCTCTTGTAGAGGACGATTATCTTCTGGACGAATCAAACGGCTAAGGTGATCTGCAACTAAATTTTCTGACCCCTTCTTATCTCTAATCTCTAAATCAAACTCTTGCAAGAGGAGAATCCATCTAATCAACCTTGGTTTTGCTTCCTTCTTGGTAAGTAAATATTTCAAAGTTGCATGATCAGAATAAACAATCACTTTAGTTCCTAATAAATATGATCGGAATTTTTCTAAGGCAAATATAATAGACAAAAGTTCTTTTTTAGTTGTTGAGTAATTCAATTGTGCTGCATCGAGAGTCCTTGAGGCATAATAGATAGCATGGGATGCCTTGCCAATCCTTTGACCTAAAACTGCTCCCACTGCGTAATCACTTGCATCACACAGGAGCTCAAATGGAAGGTTCCAATCTGGAGGTTGAATCACTGGTGGAGATGTCAAAAGTTCCTTTAATTGATCAAATGTCATCTTGCATTTCTCATTGAATTCGAAAGTTACATCTTTCTGCAGTAATTTGCTTAGCGGCGAAGCAATCTTTGAGAAATCCTTGATAAATCTTCGATAGAATCCTACATGTCCAAGAAAAGGCCGAACTTCCCGCACACTTGCGGGGTAAGGTATAGCAGAAATAAGGTCTATCTTAGACTTGTCTACTTCTATTCCTCTTGATGACACAACATGTCCTAGAACTAACCTTGATCAACCATAAAATGACATTTTTCCCAATTAAGTACAAGGTTGGTTTCAGAACATCTTTTCAAAATTAATGTTAAATTGTCAAGGCAATCGTCAAATGAATCACCGTGGACACTAAAATCATCCATGAACACTTCAATAATGTTTTCTACGTATTCATAAAATATACTTACCATGCACCTTTGAAAAGTTGCAGGAGCATTACAAAGACCATAAGGCATCCTTCGATAAGCGAACATACCGAATGGACAAGTGAAAGTAGTCTTGTCTTGATCTTTCGGTGCAATTGCAATCTGGAAATAACCTGAAAGTCCATCTAGAAAACAATAGTAAGCATGGCCAGCCAATCTCTCAAGCATTTGATCAATAAAAGGAAGAGGAAAATGATCTTTTCGGGTCACTAAATTCAGTTTCCTGTAATCAATACAAACCCGCCACCCAGTTTGAACACGAGTAGGAACTAACTCACCATCTTGATTTGTAATTACTATCACTCCAGATTGTTAGACCCTAGAGGGGGGGTGATTAGGGTCTTATGCTAATCTAATCCGATAAAAATGCCAATTAAAATATATTAACAAGTTATCCTAGCAAGTATGAAAACCAACAAGATATGTGAGCTAGGATAAGCAATGTGAACAACAAGATATATCCTAACAAGAGATATAGGCAATGTATATGCAAGGATATAAAACTAACACAATGTGATATATCCTATCAAAGAGATATACAATATGGTATATGCAAGGATATGTAACTAAGGGTGATATAAACATAAACAAGATAGTGGATCATATAAATAATGAGCTATGGACAATGGCGATATAAGATATGAACATAAATATAAATGAACGCCAAAGCACACTCAAACAAGCAATATGATCACGGAGTTCGGACCTTCCGTCCTACGTCTCCGCTCCCCACTCCCGGGGAGAAATCCACTAACACAATCCGGTTTGGAAGCCGGAACTTCTTCTACACACTCGGTTTTCTAGCTAACCGAAAACTCTACAACTCACACTCTTGCAATCACACTCTACACCCACTAAGTGTTGGACCTAGCCGTGTCTCCCTCAAGTGCTCGGTTACAACCTCTCCCTAGGCACGTCAACCGACGCCACTCCTCTTGGGACGATCCCCGACTCTCACCACACACTCCTCACTCGGTGTACAAGTGTATTACAAAGTGATTCTCACAATAAGCACAAATATGACAAATGATTGTTCTCAAAACAAGGTGAGAACTCAATTAAGCACAACTCTTAGTCACAAACCCACAACCCCAAATTATACTATGAATGTAAATACAATAAGCTCAAAAGGTTGTGTGTGAACAAAGAGATATAAATCAAAACTAAACTCAATGTAGTTCTAGCTTAATAACAATGATAATCAAATATATAAAAAAGCTAGAAATAGAGTTTAGAAAACTTCTCAATATATCAAGAGTTGGAGGGAGAATAGTTGAATGCCCAAACACCAATAGATGATCTCCTCAAGCTCTTGTAGAATTGAATCACAAAAACAAACTCTCAATTTGCTTAAAAGCTTTTTAAACACACTTAAACCAAACTAAAACCCTTGTTAAAAACTTTATTAAACTTGATTAAAAACTCTCTTAGTTAACTTGAAAAGACATCAGCAATGGGGTATATATACCCACTAGAAATCTCAGCAAAAACCCCCAAAACAAATGACAAAACAGCCCCCAGAGAAACAGCTCAGAAATAGCCGTTAGTAGCCAACGGCTATATTGTCGGTCGACCGAAAATTCCGTCGGTCGACCGATGGAATGATTATAGACATGATAATAAACATGCTACAACGACTGGTTTCGAAAAAGGACTTCCCAAATGAAAAATATCATCATTTTACAAAATAGTCCAAAACATGAAAACCTGAAAGTTGATATTTTGATATTTTGACTTAAACAACATTTTGAAACCTTATGAAATGATTGTATAGACTTGATAAAGGATATAACATGTTGTTATGAAGTCTATAACCTAGAAATGCAATATTTTCATAAATTTGCATATTCTATGCAATATATTCAAAACACGAAATATGATTTCATTAAATATAAGCTTGTTAAAAGGGAAATCATATATAGGCATATAAACATGAAACAAAATAGTATTTTCCAATTCTATTCATTTGTTTCATAGTAAAACTTGAAAACTATCAAACCAAAACATATATGTATATATATAACTATATATATACAAAATCCAAAACGTGTATGTGCGTATATGATTGAGCTTAAAGTACTAACACACATAATGTAAATTCCTAAACTAAATTACCCAAGCTTGATTGGTCTTCAATAAACTCTACTTGGTAATCTCGCGGATGAAGCTTGAACTTGGATCTTGAACTTTGAATAGCAAGGCTTCACCGACATTCCGCCAACCTCCTTTGGATGTGATCGTTGAAGCTCTATTCCATCCATCCTCCAACAACGTTGTTTGTCTACAATGAATAGATAATACAAGCACTAGACAAATAACATTAGTAGTAAATTGTTTGTAAATCATCATCAAAACAAGAAGGCCAACACAGATTTCTTAGGAACCACTTGCACTGGACTTACCCATTTACTATCTAAAATTGGATAAACTACCCCAACATCTAGTAATTTAAGAATCTCTTTCTTTACTACTTCCATCATTGGAGGATTTAATCTTCGTTGTGCTTGTCTGATTGGTTTCACACCTTCTTCAAGCCAGATTCGATGCATGCACATGGAAGGGCTTATTCCCTTGATATCTGCTATGGTCCATCTGATTGCTTCCTTGTGATCCTTGAGTACTCGAATCAATTTGTCCTCTTGAGTAGGAGATAATGCTGCTGAAATAATTACTGGAAGCATCTCATTATTCCCCAAGTACACATACTTCAAGTGTGTGGGTAAAGGTTTCTGTTCCAAATTGGGTGCCTGCAAAACAGATGGCAACAACTTCCGGTGAGATTTATGCAATTGAATAGAAGCTAAGTCATACCTTTTTGAGATTGGGTTCAAGGAATGCAAAGTCGCCATCATCTCTTCCACTCCTGTGCTAAACTTTACGTCTCTTGTTGTTTCCAACTCAATATGCTCCATTAAAACAACTTCTAATTCATCCCTGCAATTCAACTCAAATACATCCTGCACTATGGAATCAATAACATTAACAGAAAAGACAGAATGTGTATCTTTAGGATGTTTCATGGCATCAAAAATATTAAAACGGATTATTTCACCATCAAATTCCATTGTGAGGATACCATCATGGACATCAATCTTAGTTCTTGCGGTTCTAAGAAATGGTCTTCCTAACAAGATGGGTACGGGGTTAGGGGAGGTATCATCACCCATATTAAGCACGTAAAAATCTGCAGGAAACAATAGCTCATTTACTTGCACAAGAACATCCTCTAATACCCCATAAGGATAAGCATTTGTGCGGTCAGCCAATTGTATGATAACACTAGTTTCTTTTAATGGACCTACTTTCAAAGAAGCATAAACAGATCGTGACATGACATTTATTGATGCTCCAAGGTCTAACATAGCTCGCTCAATTCTAGTGTTGCCTATCTTACAAGGAATGGTAAACATACCTGGATCCTTGCATTTTGGAGGAAGTTTTGTTTGGAAAACAGCTAACACATTTTCTCCCATCTTGATCCATTCATCTCCTCTCAATCTTCGCTTGTTAGTGCATAGCTCCTTGAGAAATTTTGCATATCTTGGCACTTGCTTGATTGCATCTAGCAAAGGAATATTGACTTCAACCTTGCGGAAGGTTTCTAGAATCTCTTTTTCTTTATCTTCCTTGTTTGTCTTTGCTAATCTGCTAGGGAAAGGTGGAAGATTAGATTTGACATGAGTTGAAGGGTTTACCTTCAGTTTTTGCATAGAATGTCCTTCTTTTTCAATTTCCTTCTCAATTTCTTCATCGTTCTTCATCGTGGAGATGACCTTCTTTGGTGCCTTCTTTGGTGCCTCAACTTCTTTACCGCTTCTCAATGTCATTGCACTAACGTTCTTTGGATTTACCTTAGGTTGAGATGGCAACTTCCCTCCAACTTGAGATTCAAGACGATTAACAGTAGTTGCAATCTGACTCATTTGTTTTTCCAGATTTTGAATGCTAGACTTTCCTCCCTTGCCTTTTCCTCGCTCATTGCTCCTTCCTCGCTATTTGCAACTACCCTCCAACGATGATTTCGCAGCCAACCAATTCTCGCTATCTCTATCCCAAATAGCTTCCTTGAATGAGACCGGCTCATCTTCCTCCACCGAGAGTGCGTACTCAACCAAATTAACTTACCTATAGTGCTTCAGGGGTTGATCAGCCCCTAGCTTTTGTACCTGCTTGTATGCTCTCTTTGGCCTAGTGGAAGCTAAGCTATCCTCGAGCTGCTGTTGTTGTTGCTGAACAACCTCCTCCTCAAGCTCATCATCTACCTGATTTCCCACTTGAACATGACTAGAACTTGGTTGGTCCTTAGGTTCTATCTCAATAACCTGGGACTTTAAAGTCCCAACAGTTCTAACGTCATCATCCTTGGGCGCCCTAGCAATCATGGATTTCTCATCAAAGGTAATGTCCCTACTGATCATGAACTTCGAATCTTCTGTACACCAAATACGATAGCCTTTTACGCCCTTCGCATACCCCAAGAATATCGCCTTCTTGGCCCTCGCGTCAAGCTTTCCCTCGTTAACGTGATAATAGGCAGTACATCTAAAAATTCTGAGCCTCTCATAATCTGCATGTTCCCCTTACCACACCCTATAGGGTGTATCACTATCTAGTGTAGAATGTGGAGAACGGTTCACAATGTAACATGTTGTAGCCACCGCTTCTGCCCACCATTCGTTGCCCAATCCAGCATAAGATCGCATACTCATTGCCTTCTCCCACAATGTTCGGTTCAGTCTCTCCGTGACCCCGTTCTGCTTGGTGTTGACCTGACTGTCCAGTGTCGAACAATGCCCTCCTGATCACAGAACTTCTTAAAAGCACCATCTGTATACTCTGTACCGTTGTCAGATCTTAGTGTCTTCAATTTCTTACACGTCCTGTTCTCAACCATTGCTTTCCACTTCTTGAATGTCTCGAATACCTCATTCTTATGCACAAAAAAGCCATGCAAGGTTTCTTCAGATTCTTCAGCAAACCCTCCTTACCAAGCAGAACTAGACCCTTCTCTGACATGGGCCCAAGCCGCCTATGCCATAACCGTGTGTGCTCACATGGATCTCCACCACTTCCTTCAGTTCCAACCGCTGCATTTCCTATCACCGTCATACCCGAGAGAGTATATAGATTACCATGATGAACACCCTTCATTATTGTTAGGGAACCTCGAACAACCTTCTTCACTCCGTTCTCTGTAACAATCTTGCAGCCACCGGAGTCCAATGCACCCACTGAGATAAGATTCTTCCGCAAGTCAGGAATGTGCCGCACGTCCGTTAGGGTTCTGACCACTCCATCATGCATCTTGATTTTTATATCACCGAGCCCCACCGTTTTACAAGCATGGTTATTCCCCATTAATACGGTTCCACCATCAATGCTCCTATAGGTAGTAAACCACTTCCTATTTGGACACATGTGGTAAGAGCAACCTGAATCAAGTATCCACTTATCGGAGATATCTTCGCCACCCATAACAAGATAGCATTCTTTATCGCTCCCTTCCTCTGAAGCATAGCTCACTTCTTCCTTGCCTTCTCTCTTCTCAGTCTTGTTGTTGTTCTTCTTCCCACCTACTCTCTTGTTAGGACAATCGACCTTGAAATGCCCAACTTCACCATTTAAAGCACGTTCTTCCCGCAAGAGGTCTCGATTTAGATCTAGACTTTCATCCCTTGCCTTTTCCTCGCTCATTGCTCCTTCCTCTAGCAAACAATCCATGTGCTTGTTCTTTGTTACCACCAGTAGTCATGTCACTGGTTGTAATCTTCCGAAGATCATCTGCTAGAAGCGCCATTCTAGTCTCATCCATCGTCAAATTATCTCCCATAAGCATTAGTGTTTGCACCAGGTTCTCATAAGACTTCGGTAGAGATAGAAGTAGTAGAAGCGTCTGATCCTCGTCTTAGTGTTTGCACCAGGTTCTCATAAGACTTCGGTAGAGATAGAAGTAGTAGAAGCGTCTGATCCTCGTCTTCTACAGTCACATCGATGTCCTTCAAATCCCGGTAGAGATAGAAGTAGTAGAAGCGTCTGATCCTCGTCTTCTACAGTCACATCGATGTCCTTCAAATCTGATATTATCCTATCAAACTTGTTGATGTATTCCCGGATTGATGAGCCATCCTCCATCTTGCAAGTATACAATTTGGATTTCAAATAGATCCAGTTCATTAGACTCTTCGTCATGAAGGTGGTTTCTAACTTCGACCACATGTCCGCAATCGTTTTCTCTCCATCTACCAAGAAAGCTACATCTCTTTCAAGGTAAAGGATAATCGACGCTCGTGCTTCCTGATCCAGCTCCTCCCGATCCTCATCAGACATATCCTTGTGCTTCTTCTCTTTTCCTACCAAAGCTTTGTGCAATTTCTGCAAAATTAATGTGTTCTTCATCTGCATCCTCTAATAGAAAAAATCATTCTTCTTATTGAATTTTTCAATCTCGTATTTCCCCACTTTAAATGTTTTACTTGTTAACGTCATTCTTCGCTTGTATTAATGAATCCGTTTCTCTCAGGAAATTACCGAGCACAACCTCAAATCAGAAGCTATATCACTCCCAATCTGAATAACAGCTCTAATACCAGTTGTTGGGCGTAGAGTCACGCCCACCGCCGCAGAAGCGATATCACCTGAGAGAAAGCACTGGCTTTTGTTGTCACAAAAGCACAAGTCAACCTCTATATTCTTGTTTCTCAAAGGAAACTAGAATAGATAGTGAAATTCTTATTTCTCAAAGGAAACAAGAATCAAAAGTGATATATTTCATCAAAGTGATATATTTCATCAAAGTGAAATATACACTCTTCCTCTCATCAGTTCTAGGACTGAAAATGTCGAGGGAACCTACAAGCAATAGCCAACACCCAGAAAACAATAAAGACACGAGATTTACGTGGTTCGGTAAACTTGCCTACGTCCACGGGAGGGGGTGAGGGGAGATACCACTATAAGAAGAACACCGACGACTTATACAATCCACAAGCTCGTCTCAAAGAAAAATAGATCTGACTTTTACACAAAAGAAATTAACCTTTCTTTTATAAAATCTCTCTTTTTCTTCTCCTCAAAATCTTAGATCTAAGGCTTCTGAAAAACTCCTCAAAACAAGCCGCTGACCCTCTGTTTCACCTCTGTAGCCGAAAAGAAAAAAAACCGCTGTATTTTTTTTTTCTTTTTTTTACCTCTGCGATTTTTTCCCCCTACGAAACCCTAGGTACATTAGGCTATATATATAGAGAAGCTTCTCCGCGTGAATTGTTGTTTTGTTTTTCCGCGTGAATGGGTGGGTGGCCCCCACGCTCCTCCCACGTTCACATGTTAGTAGCAAGAGATTTGACAATATCCTCTAAAGACATACCTGAGTTAGAAGAAGGTTGTTGCTTGGCCTGAAATTGTTGTTGAAAACCTTGCGGCCTATTTGGAAAGAAATTATGTTGCTTGTTCCCTCCATAATTGAGATTAGGGTGATCTCTCCACCCTAGATTATATGTGCTCGAGAAAGGATCATATTGTCTATGGATGTTTCCAGCAGCATTCACTTGCTCCGTGTCTCCATCTTGCAGCATTGGGCATATATCTGTTGGGTGACCATTATTGCAACATATCCCACAAGCCTTTACTTGTTGTATATTCCCTACAGCAAGTTGTTTAACAATAGAGGTGAGTTCAGATAGTTGTTGCTCATTAGATGAAACCTTTACCTCATTTACTTTGTGTGTTGGTACATCATTTCTAGTGCCAAATTGTTGAGAATTCGTTGCCATGCTAGCAATTAAGGTTCTTGCAGCCTCCGGTGTATTGTCAACCAACGCACCGCCACTTGCTGCATCAATCATGCTTCTATCAGTTGGAAAGAGTCCTTCATAGAAATATTGGATTAGAAGTTGGTCGCTGATTTGGTGGTGTGGACAGCTTGCGCACAGCTTCTTGAAACGCTCCCAATACTCATAAAGAGTCTCTCCATGTTGTTGCCTTATACCACAAATTTTTTTTCTTATATTGGCAGCTCTTAAGGAAGGAAAGTATTTCTCCAAAAATATTCTTTTCATTCCCTCCCATGTAGTGACGGTTCCAGAAAGTATGTAGTAGAACCAATCTTTAGCTGCATCTTTTAATGAAAATGGAAAGGCTCTCAACTTGATTTGTTCTTCTGTTATTCCAGGAGGTTTCATGCTTGAACAAACTATATGGAATTCTTTGAGATGCTTGTGTGGATCCTCACCTGCAAAACCATGAAATGAAGGCAATAAATGAATTAGTCCAGATTTAAGTTCAAAGGTCGTTTTTTCATCTAAATCAGGAAAATTAATGCAAAGAGATTGTTGATTCAAATCTGGTGCCGCCAACTCTTTCAGGGTCCTGTTATTGGCCATGACCTCTTCCTCAATTTCCAAGTTGTTAAAAGAAGATTTTGAAACTAAGGGTTGTTCAGGCGAAGTTTTTCTAGTCTTTTTTATTTTGCGTAAAGTTCTATTAATCTCCCAATCAACCTACAAAATAGCTTGGTCAGAAGAGTGTGTTATGGGCATACAAAATTTAAATAATAAAAGAAAATCACAAAAAACACAAATTAATCAAAAACTACTCCCCGACAACGGCGCCAAAATTTGATGCGTGCCGAATGCACCAAAAATAAATTCCTTACTTTTGTTCTTAAAGATTTTGTAAAAATGACAAGTAAGGGTCGAATCCACAGAGAGTAGTTAATCATTTTATGGTTAACGTGACCGAAATAAAAAGGAGGGGATTTTAGATTGTAGTAAATTACTTAAAAAAGGTTAAAATAAAGGTTATGAAAGATGAAACTTATTAAAAGATTCCAGTTCTTGGTTCAGTTTTCACCTAAGTTTGAATGCTTAATCAATTGTATCGTAGTTTCTACTCTATTATGGAATTACTAACTGTAGATAACAACAAACTATGTTACCCCAATTTCTCCCTATGTGTAACCAAGAGACGCTCGTTGGATTACACCTAACTGCATGGACAACCTAGGATGAGATCTCTAGATTTAGTGCAACAAAAGCATTATTGGTCAGAGAACAATAGGTTAGTCTAAGTAACAAAGTCGAACGCCCTATTTATTTAACTTAGGTTGTGTTATCCTTAATGATGCACGATAACTAGTTTACTACTTATGAATCAAGATCAACAACAATTACGGATTGAAGCCCTAATTCTAGAATCAAATTAATATATGAATGAGATAGCAAGCCAAAACTAAATCAAGCATACATAAATCATAACATTAAACTCAGAATAACACAATCAATTCATAAAAGAGTAAGAAACAATGTTACAGTAATTGATTATTGCATGGACAATATCTTAGATTTCAACATCCCCTTGAACTAGAAAAGAAAAGCCTAGCCTTGCATGGTGAAAGAGCACATTTCTACCAAGAACTCACAATTTTGGGAGAATCACACCGTGCTCTTGAATAGCAAACATGGGTCATATATATATCAATACTTCTAACAGAAAAGAGGATAACAACCCACATTTTTAGAGGTCTATAACCATGGATTATGATTAGACTAAATCAAAACAGAAAACATCTTATCCCCTGACTACTTCTCTAATGCAGAAATTCAGATTGTGCTTCTCTGTACGAAGATTTTCTCATGATATGTTTGATTTCAGAGATATCATAAATACAAAAGTTGTAGATCTCGTTCTTAATTTTCCAGGAAATGTTTATTTAGCCAATTCCGAGTTGATACGAGAGAGATATGGCCAAAACATCAAACGTTACCGAGCTGTCCAGATTTGCATAATTTGTTTCCTTTTTCACCAAACTACTTCATTTGTTCCTGTAATCAAAAAAATCAATTAGTAGGCTAAACAAGGCATCAGTTCTGCACAAAGATTAAGTATAATGAAATAAATATGTATATATTTTTGTACTTATCAGCCTTCTTATCCAGTATCTCCCAATCATCGTCTGACTCCTCTTTCTTTTGTCCCTTATCCTTGCCCATCAACGGGTGATACAAGTCCTTCTGGTACAGATAGTCCTTCATCTACGACTTCCAGTAGACGAAGTCTGAATCGTCAAACTTCTCAATCTTAGATTTGATTTCCTCTTCCATGGCTCTCTCTCACAAATTTGCTGAACAAAGCTCTGATACCAGTTGTTGGGGATTCGAGACAATCAAATCAAATATGTACCCTTCCGGATCTTGTTTTGAGAGTTAAGCAAGAAAGAAATTCACCACAAATCAAAGATAAAAACTTGTAGGAAAGTAAACAAGAAAGAACACACCAGATTTAATGAGGTTCGGTAATGTGCCTACGTCCTCGAGAGCCACACCACATAATTCTTTGATTAATTGAAAAAAATTACAATGCTCGCAATTGGCCTCTCTCTCTAATATTTCTGATCTCAAAGAGCCCTCAAAACCCTCTTTTTCGTGTTCTTTTTCTCTTCTAAACCCTAGAGGGACGTGTTTCTATTTATAACAAAACACAATCCCTAACAGATTAGAATTCTAAAACAAGTTGACACACCCTGGTATGGCACATACTACACCCATGGTAAATAAGACAGATTATGTCACACCAGGGTGTGGCAGACACCACACCCATGACACACAGGGTAAATTCTGTCACACTCTGTCACATGGGTGTGGCAGACACCACACCAGGGTGTGGTGGAGTCTGTCTTACTTATTTTTCACGTGTTTGTTGATTTTGATTCTAGATTTGGGTCTCCACTCTCAAGACCAACACAACTCAAACATATCAAACAAAAGATTGTATCATAAAGGTTTTTTTTAAACATGGGAAAGTGAACATTTTGTAGAAACACGATGAATAAGCCGTAATCTCTGTATTCTTTGCCCATTATTTTGGGTATTTTACATTATCAATGTTAATTAATTTTAGTTTTAACCGGTTATCTAACAACAAACTTTCTTTCTTTGAGGATAAAGAACCAAAAAAATTTCACTGGTCTAACTACAAAAATAGAAACTACATGGGGTCTATCCGCAACTGGGTGATACTACATGAGGTCCATCCACAACTATCCCATATATAAATGAAGGGTTTCATGACACATCGAACGCATTTTAGAGTGCATATCACAGTGTTTTACGCAAAAGATTCATGCTACTATTAAATAGTTCTTCTATGGGTAAAAATAATAATAAAAGCAATCTACCTTAAAAAGAAGGAAATCATATTAGTAGAAAAACTTTAAAGTCAGAGAAACTTCATTGGACAAACCAAAAGGAATATATTATAACAAACCAATAGCACATGAGCAAACTTTGCAATATTGAACACACACAACTGTTACAAAACTGTCAGTTGATTCCATTGGCTTTGTCAGAAATAATCACCGTCTGATCATTCTCAAATGTAAGTCCTTCAGAGTGGTACGCATGCAGGCATTATGATGCATACTTTTCATGAAACAAGATATAAAGAAAAACTTGAATTTCATAAATAACAATTACTTGAATTTCTTTAACAACCCTCAACACATAGCTCATATAGATTCACAACTAAAAGGCCTTCAAAGAAAGCACATGGGTTTAGACAATTGCAGCGAGATTGATGTTTAAAATTTACTGCAAATGGCTCGTGATTGTTTTTACTGCTGAGAATTTTTAACTAAAATGAGTTTTTTTTTAAAAAGCATATTTAAATCATTTCACATTTTCCAAAAAAATTCTAAAAATATATTTGACCATTTAATATTGTTGCCATTGTTATCAACACAGATTTTTCAAGACCAGTGATCAATGTGAATAAGTATGTCCTTACAATACAATCAGACCACAATTTCGCTACTAATCAACAAAAAAGTTATCGCCTCATCCCTCAAAATCTAACCTCACTCCCTCGCCACATCCACTATCTCTTTTGGATCAACCACTAAGCATTCATATTTATAACATAGAGTTTTTATTTGCAAAGTAGAAAATATAAAAATATCTTTACCATACATATCATGATACACGTCAAATAGAAATTGTTCAAACTTGAGATGGGTATTCATCTTTCTATCAGAAAATCATGGAATAAAATGCCAAAATCTATAAAATTTTGACTTCAAGCTATTGCCACAATTTTAGTAATTAATTCACTGACACCATTAAGAACATAAAATTTTGATGTCAATCTATTGCCAAAATTTTAGTGATAATTTCACCAACAGCATTAAGATTATAGAAACACAACAGTTGGGAAGTAGATTCATATTCCATCACAACATTGATCATGAATTGAAAATAAATAAATAAATGACACAATAAACATCAATTTCGCTACAATCATAGATAAATTATCACTTCTTAAACAACTAAATGACGAGATCATTAATCAAACTAATAACAGATTCAAAGGATTCTTATCGAAACACATAACGCAGTGAAATCAACAACTAGACATTGAAATAAGAAATTAAATTAAAAAGAGCAAATCAATCAAAATTCAAAAAATAAATCGTAATTCTCCTAGATTTAGGATCTCACTGATGTATTGTCGTCATCGCCCAAGGTGAGATTAGTGCTTGCGAGCCGTCGTCGTTTGGGTCGTCGTTGCCGGTTGGATCTAGGAGCTAGGGTTTTGATGGAACTGAGAGAGAGAGAGCGAAGAGTTATCGCCGGTTGGATCTAGGAGCTAGGGTTTTGATGGAACTGAGAGAGAGAAGAGTTGTCGCCGGTTGGATCTAAAGAGAGAGAGAGAGAGAGAGAGAGAGAAACGACAGAAGTGGAAGTGCGAGAGTGATCGTGGGTCAAAAAAAGAATAGCGGAATTGTAAATGACAGGGTGTAGTTAGGGATTTAGAATTATGAGGCTATCATGGGCTTTAAAGGTTAATGTATTTGGGCTAATATCTGTTACTCAGAGAGAGAGAGAGAGAGAGAGAGAGAGAAACGACAGAAGTGGAAGCGCGAGAGAGATCGCGGGTCGAAAAAAAAATAGCGGAATTGTAAATGACAGGGTGTAGTTAGGGATTTAGAATTATAAGGCTATCATGGGCTTTAAAGGTTAATATATTTGGGCTAATATCTGGTACTCAAATTCTTTTGAATCCAAACAATGTAATTGGGCCAATTACAGTATTTGAAATGAAATACTGATTACCAAACAGGCCCTAATGTCGTTTTAAGATTCCAAGTCCCAACTCAAACGCAACTTCCATGGTTTTAATATATATATATAACTATTTTGTGTTCGATAAATACATAACCAACGGCACATACAACTAGTGTTAATAAAGAAGTCAAGTATTTCTGAAAGGAATGTGATAAGCTTTTGACTATAAAATGCATGCAACTTGCAAGCGTGTTAAAAGGAGCTCTTAACAGATAACTTAATTTACAAAGAATCAAAATATTAAATTGGCATTTCAGAAAAGAGTCCCCCCTCAATGATTAAGGATAGAAACAGTGGCAGAAGCACCAAAAATTAAACTATAACAAAAATTCCACCCAAATAAAGACAGAAAACAGAGACAACGACAACCACACTCGTAAATAAAAGAAGAGGAGGATTGTGATAGAAACCCCATTAATGACAACGACATCTCCCCACTTTACATTACACACATCACAAACTCATCCATCCCTCTCGAATATTCATTAAAATGCACACAAAATCCCAAATTAATTAACCATCATCATCCTCATCAGTTATTCGCGTTGCTCCTGAACGAACCCAAAGCTTTAATGGCTGCAGCTCTCAAAATATATTGATGGTATGCCGCTGCTGCCAGAGCTCCAACAAATGGCCCAACCCAGAAAATCCACTGTTAAACAAAAATTAATCAAATAAAAGCCCCAAAAAATTAAAATAACAAGAGGGGAAAAGAAAAGTTAATTGCAAAGTTAAGACCAAGCTTTTACATGATCATCCCAGGCCTTCTTGTTATTGTAAATAACAGCAGCCCCAAAACTTCTTGCAGGGTTAATCCCGGTCCCAGTGATCGGAATCGTCGCCAAGTGGACCATGAACACAGCGAATCCTATCGGCAAAGGCGCCAAAACCTAACAAAAATTCGAACAATTTGAATAAAACTCAATTAAAAAAAATTAAGATGATTATGTGAGCTCAAAGCATACTGACCGGCACGTGAGAGTCGCGCGCGCTGCGCTTGGGGTCGGTAGCAGAGAAAACGGTGTAAACAAGAACGAAGGTTCCGATGATTCGCGCGCGAGAGCGGTTCCATTTGAGTAACCGCCGGCGACCTCGTTGGCACCTCCCCCCAAAGAATTGTAGAAACTCTTCATGAACGCTTTCACCAGCCCAACTCCGCAAATCGCGCCTAAGCACTGAGCAACCATGTACAACACGGCTCGTATTAATGAGACTTTGCGGGCCAAAAATAGCCCAAACGTCACCGCAGGATTAATATGCCCACCTGAAAACCCCAAAACAATAATGACAAATATTAAAAGTTTATGGGCCGGAGATAGAAGAGGGAAATTTAGCAAACATTTCAATTTTAGTCTAACTGATTTATCGAGGTTTGAGCAAAATTTTAGTGCATAGAATGTTAGGAGTTAGGGTTATAGTTGGGATTTACAACCTCTTAAATAGTCACGATTAACAAACTCACTATTTAGGAAGCGGATTAACATAAAATAGATCTATTTTTGTAAATAAAACTAAAAAGGGTCTATTTTTAGAGAAAAAAAATGTGAAGAGTTTATTTAGAAAATTTCTTCTACTTGTGTATTTACAGATTATCATCTAGCTCCTTTGTGTTGGGAAGTCATCAGTACAAGTCTCTAATGTTACCTTCCATTTTTTTTCGGTTAACTCTTAGTAACATGTTATTTTAAGATCAGATAAAAAATAGTGAAATTATGAGTTAGCTATGCAACATCAGCAAGATTTAGCAAATTATGAGTTTGTAATATCATGTTGAAGGTCTCTTTCACTGTATTAAACTCTAAGCTTATAATTTTATACTCTATGGACCTGAGATTCCGGCGGTGCAGTAAACAAGGATGAAGATCATGCCGCCGAAAGACCAAGCGATTCCAAGAACGCCGACGCCACCGCAGATATCGGTAGCAGACTGATGCTTGTACCCGATGACGGTGGCGACTGTGACATAGAGAAAGAGGAGAGTGGCGATGAACTCGGCGATGAGCGCTCTGTAGAAGGACCAGAGGCGGAGCTCACCGAAGTCCAGCAGCTTTTGACATTTTTGGTTTTTTTTTTTTTTAGGGTTTCAGTGAGCTGGTGTTGTGAGAGAGAGTGGGGGGATTTATGGATAAGGGGAGAACTGGAGTTAAGGGGAAGAATCTTCTAGAGGAGAGAAGGGATTGGTGAAGATCTGACCGTTGATTGTGTGGCGGACGGTTGATGAATGGTGATTTTGGGTTATGAGTGATGATGGGGTTGCGATGATGGGATACAGAGAGGAGATTGAGGGGAAGTGGGCCCCTACGACAGCGAGGATGATGATGAAGGTGGAGGCCGTAGAGGAGATGAGAGTTGGGATATATATAGTGCCTACAAACGGTTGAGATTTTAACTTCGCTTTTCTCTGACGTTAATTAGGAATTAAGGTTGCTTCTGGTTATTTTGGGCTTTTTACCTGTCTCTGGTTTTCCATCGTTTGAAATCAGCTTCTCAAATTATAAAATTGTAGTTTGGTTCTTCATTTGCTATATATTGCTAATTTGAAGCAACTTGTCTGATTTGGCCAATCTAATAGCGTTTTAATGATTTGAGAGGCTAATTCTGAGATGACCTATATGAATTCAAGGACTAATAGCAATTTCAAGGACTAATTGATTTCAAAATATTAAAGATTTTAAGGGACTAATGTTGATATAAACTGCATTAGTTAACTATTGTAAATTTGCAACAGTTTTCCGACCCGGTGTCTTAATTTGTCCTGTTGCGAAAAGAGGAAACAGAGAACTCCGGCTCCGATACCATCTCCAGCTCAAATTAAACGTGGCCATGGGATTTGACGTGCCAGACATGTGCGGGCCCCACCTATCCACACGCCTTTTCTTGATTGGTCCGGGACAGCGGATCTATCCAAAACTTTAAAACCGTAATGCGTTAAACTAGGTGTGGTTTAGATATCATAGTGTTTTGCTTGTTTATATGATGTTTTTGTCAAAAACAAAACACTATGTATTTAAAAATCATTGTGTTTTTTGAGCTAAATTATCCTCAAACAAAAAATACAACATGTATTTTAAAACAAATTTTAGATGTTTTGAGTTTGGTGTTTTGGTTTGAAGTTTGAGAATGTGTTAATATAATATCTAACATAATATATTAAATGTAATTAATATAGAGTTATTATTAATATGCTTATTATATTATACTATACTTTAATATATTAGTAACATTTATTAAATAATATAAAAATATAATAAATAAAATATCTTATATAATAATATAATAACATATTAAATACCAATATTTAATATGTTAACAATGTATTATATAATAAATAAATAATAATAAAATATAAATAAACTAATAAAAATAATAAAAAGTTATTGATAATAAATAATAATATAATAATATAATAATAATATACTATACAATAGTATAATCGCTACAATATTATTAACTTTTTAATAAATAAATTATAATAAATTAATAATTATAAAATATTATATAATAGTAACATATTTAATAATAGGGAAAAATGTGTCTAGGCCCCAAAAGCAGAAAGTTCATGTGACGAGGCCCCTCATAGTTTCCCCCATGTGGATCAGCCATTGAAGTGTGACACTTTATATTACAATCCTTTCTTAGCAATTATTACATGTCAACTAAGGTAAAATCCCCAAATTATCCTTATCTTCTCTCCTCAATCCTCAGACCCAACACTCATCTTCTCTCTCTCTCTCTCTCTCTCTCTCTCTCTCTCTCTCTCTCTCTCTCTCTATACTCGTCTTCTCTCTCTCTCTCCTCTCTCGTCTCTAAACTACGAGTTTTTCTCAAGCTCGCGCCCTGGCCTGCCCTCCTCGGCCGTCGCAGCCTCCGCTAGGCCCCCAAGTCTGCCTTGAGTTCGCCCGCGTCTCTCCCTCCTCCAGCCTATACTCGTCGCAGTACGAAAAAAACGTGTACAGTATAATTATGAACAAAATTTGTAAACTAAACCAATCAACTATAACTACAGGAGCACACACCATGGGCAAGACATGTTGCCACTACATCCACGATCGGTGGAGCTCAGCTTTTAATCGATTCGTTGTTGTACTTCTCTAAGAGGTTGAGATGATGAAGGAACGATTCACAATATTCAAAACGATATAACGAGAGGTAGAAAATGAGCTCAAGTGAAAGGAAGATACCGTGTGATGGAAAATATAAAGGGCTACACACCGGCGAAGACGGTGGTGAAAACGGAGACCGGAGGTGACCGAAAAACGTGCGCGAAGTCGGCACGGCGCTGCTGTTTTCTGCTCGTTGCTGCCATCGAGCGATGTTTCAGACGTTACCGAGAGAGACAGAAAATGAGTTAGAGCGTGATACAAATTGGAAGTGATAGGCTACATGAAGAGGTACTCACCAAAGAAGAAATCGGTGGAAACAGATATTAGAGGTGATCGGAAAGTGCGTGCGAAGTCGGCACAAAACTGCAGCTTTCTGCAGTACAATTTCTCGCCGTTCGGGTTTGTTTTTCGTTGTTCGGAGCTTTTCGCTATTGTCCTGGCTTGCCGGAGGTGGGAGGAGGTTGTCGAGGTTGTCGGGGTGTCTCGATGGGCTCCGTCGGATGTGGGAGGAGCTTTTCTCCGTTCCCAAGAGCCTAGAACTAAGATGAATTAGAGCTAGAACTAGCTAGAACTAGCTAGAACTAACATGGGGCGGGCTAGAACTAACATAGGGCGAGTTAGAACTAACATGGGGCAAGTTAGAACTAACTTGAGATCCCAAGAGCCTAGAACTAAGATGAATTAGAGTTAGAACTAGCTAGAACTAACATTGGGCGGGTTAGAACTAACATGGTATAAATTAGAACTAACATGGCATAAGTTAGAACTAACACGGCACAAACTGGTCATTTACTATCTGATACCATTCGAATCTGGAAAATCTCAAAAGACCAAAGTTGTAGGTCTCTTCAACGGATTTCCAACAAGTATTATATCACCTCATTCCGAGTTTGGAAGGAGAAATTATAGCGAAAATAACAATATAAACTAACATGGCACAAACTGTATGTAAGATCTAGAAAAGTCTAAAAGACCAAAGTTGTAGGTTTCTTCAACAGTTTTCCAACAAATCTTAAATCACCTTATTCTGACTTCGGACGGAGAAATTATAGCGGAAACAAGAATGTAAACTAATATGGTGTAGATTAGAACTAACATAACAGAAGTTAGAACTAACATGGCATAAGTTAGAACTAATATGGCACAAACTGGTCATTTACTATCTGATGCCATTCGAATCTGAAAAAGCTCAAAAGACTAAAGTTGTAGGTCTCTTCAACAGATTTCCAACAAGTCTTAAATTACCTCATTCCGAGTTCGGACGGAAAAATTATAACGAAAACAACAATATAAACTAACATGGCACAAACTGTATGTAAGATCTAGAAAAGTCTAAAAGACTAAAAATGTAGGTCTCTTCAACAGCTTTCCAACAAATCTTAAATCACCTCATTCCGACTTCGGATTGAAAAATTACAGTAGAAACAACAATGTAAACTAACATGGTGTAGATTAGAACTAACATAACAGAAGTTAGAACTAACATGACATAAGTTAGAACTAATATGGCACAAACTGGTCATTTACTATCTGATGTTGTTCGAATCTAGAAAAACTCAAAAGACCAAAGTTGTAGGTCCCTTCAACGGCTTTCCAACAAGTCTTAAATCACCTCATTCCGAGTTCGGACAGAGACAGCGAAAACAACAATGTAAACTAACATGGCACAAACTGTATGTAAGATCTGAAAAAGTCTAAAAGATCAAAGTTGTAGGTCTCTTCAACAGCTTTCCAAAAAATCTTAAATCACCTCATTCCGACTTCGGACGGAGAAATTACAGCGTAAACAACAATGTAAACTAACATAGTGTAGATTAGAACTAACATAACAGAAGTTAGAACTAACATGACATAAGTTAGAACTAACATATATGACACAAACTGATCATGTTATTTCCGCTGTAATTAACAGTGTTGTTTCCGCTTTAATTTATATTGTTGTTTCCGCTGTAATTTCTACGTCCGAAGTCGGAATGAGGTGATTTAAGATTTGTTGGAATGCTGTTAAAGAGACCTACAACTTTGGTCTTTTAGATTTTTCCAGATCTTACATACAGTTTGTGTCATGTTAGTTTATATTATTTTTTTCGCTGTAATTTCTCCGTCCGAACTCGGAATGAGGTGATTTAAGACTTATTTGAAAGCCGTTGAAGAGATCTACAACTTTGATCTTTTGAGCTTTTCTAGATTCGAATGGCATCAGATAGTAAATGATCAGTTTGTGTCATTGTAACGCCCCGCCCCGGAATCCCGGAGTCGGTGCGTTATTAGATCTGATGGACTGGCCTCACAAACCACCGCATGTCTTTTCAACACGTTTTGTCCTCACTCACGCGCTCCCTGAAAAACTTCCCAGGGGGTCACCCATCCTAGAATTTCTCCAGGCCAAGCACGCTTAACTTTGGAGTTTCTAAGAGTTGGGTTCCCGAAAAGAAGATGCATCTTGATGGTATGAGTATTCCAATCAAATCTATCAATACTAATCACATCACCCTCTCAAGGGTTGGGGTATTACAATCTCCCCCACTTAGACTCGCAACGTCCTCGTTGCGCCAAATCATATCAACCAAGACCGTACCGTCCGTGTGAGATTCTAGAGGTGGCTCCTACGGCCTCAAGAGGTGGCTCACGCCCTTTCGACGTAGCACTTTGCACCGCATAGCACTTAGCTCTCATAATTCCGGTTGGCTTTGCTCTGATACCATTTGTAACGCCCCTCCCCGGAATCCCGGAGTCGGTACGTTATTAGATCTGATGGACTGGCCTCACAAACCACCACATGTCTTTTCAACACGTTTTGTCCTCACTCACGCGCTCCCTGAAAAACTTCCCAGGGGGTCACCCATCCTAGAATTTCTCCAGGCCAAGTACGCTTAACTTTGGAGTTTATAAGAGTTGGGTTCCCGAAAAGAAGATGCATCTTGATGGTATGAGTATTCCAATTCAACACGTTTTGTCCTCACTCACGCGCTCCCTGAAAAACTTCCCAGGGGGTCACCCATCCTAGAATTTCTCCAGGCCAAGTACGCTTAACTTTGGAGTTTATAAGAGTTGGGTTCCCGAAAAGAAGATGCATCTTGATGGTATGAGTATTCCAATCAAATATATCAATACTAATCACATCACCCTCTCAAGGGTTGGGGTATTACAGTCATGTTAGTTCTAACGTATGCCATGTTAGTTCTAACTTATGTCATGTTAGTTCTAACTTCTGTTATGTTAGTTCTAATCTACACCATGTTAATTTACATTGTTGTTTCCGCTGTAATTTCTCCGTCCGAAGTCAGAATAAGGTGATTTAAGATTTATTAGAAAGCTTTTGAAGAGACCTACAACTTTGGTCTTTTAGATTTTTCTAGATCTTACA